CTGGCGAGAGGCCAGCTCCGCGTCCTGTCTCGGCGGCCGGGCGGGGCCCGGAGGCCACCGCAGCCGGAGGGCAGGGAGCAGAGGCGCTGGGCAGGGCCACGGGAACGGGGTCATCTGTGGGGAACCATGTGGGCACCCAGATGCAGCCACTCGGCTGCCTGGCCAGGCGCTGGGGCGGCCACAGCCCAGACACAGCAGCCACTGTCTGCCCAGCTGAAGGGTGGGGCACCCAGGCCCTGGGCCCGCTCTGCGGCCTGTCAGGAGATTTACACCCGACTCTTAACAACCGCATGGAAGCAGGGGCGGGTGCTGGGCCCCGGGTGGTCTGCCGTGAATCGGCCCCCTGTGAGCAGATGAAAGCCGGCCGGTGGCTGGCGGGGGGCCAGCGGGCAGGGAGGCAGCTCCTCCTTCCCAGGCCTGCAGCCGGGCTTCCCAGCGGCCTGGGCTTGATTAGGGAGCCGGGAGGTCTAAGGTTAACCCCTTCCCTCCCACGGGGCACACTCCCCCGGGGATCGTGGGGGCAGGGGGCAGGAGCAGTTGGCTCTCCTCCATGGGGGCGTCCCTCTGCCTCCCCCCACCTGGAGCGGAGGGCAAACCTGGCAGCTTAGCCGCGGGTGCTTTTCCTGCCCCTGCCCCTGCCCCTGCCCCTGCCCCTGCCCCTGCCGCCGGGAGCCTCCAGCAGCCTCAGGGGCTGCTCACCTCCCTCGGCCGCTGCTCACGTCACCCCTTCAGGAGGTTCCCTGTCCCCCACCCCTGCCATGTCTCAGCCCCTACGTGCTGCCTGCTCACTCCAGATCTTCCTTTCTTCACAGGACTTCATATGACCTGAAACTAAATCAGCGAATCACTTGTTTACTTCACTGATTCCATAGTATTTCTCGAGCACCTACTGAGTGCTCCCGTCTGCATTCCAGGGTCTGTTCCAGCGCCTGACACGACAGAGGAAACATGCTCGCCTCCTGGGACGCAGGCCCGAGTGGGAAGACGAGAGAGAAAGAAAAGAAATGCGTGAACGTCAGGGCACCTTAGGAGGGGCTCGAGGTCACGTGAGAGCCGGAGGTAGAAGGGGTTGGGGGGGGTTTGCTGTGCCTGTGATGTGAAGCGGGGTGTCAGCGAGGGGCTCACGGCCAAGTTTGCGGAAAGACTTCAGGGAGGGACGGGGTGAGCCATGAATCCGGGGGTGCCCGGGGGTGGCGGGGGGCATTCCAGGTAGACGTGCAAAGGCTCCAAGGCAGGGGTGTGACTGCCCACTTCAAAGACCGCCCAGGGGGCCGGCGAGGGGAGGGGAGGCCGGAGGAAGGCGTGTGAGAGGAAGGCAGAGGAGTGATGGGCACAGGTCAGGTGGGGCCTTGTTGCCATGGTGATGACAGAACTGTTGACCATCTCTCCCCAGCCCTGTGGGTGTGTGAGACCCATCTGCCGGGTTCACAGAGCATCTAGCTTCTAGAACAGTGCCCGCCTCACGTAGGTGCCTAGGAAAACATTTGCTGAAACCCTCCCATGTACATTTTGGGGAAGGGCCCGCAGGCAAGATGCCAGGGCTGCCCTCCCGGCCTCGGGCGGGATCAGGAACCTGGGCCGACCCCTCAGGGACCGGCACCTGCTAAGCCTGGAGGACGTGGAGCGTGCAGTCCCCAAACCGGTCCACGGCGGAGTCCCCGGGCCTGTCCGCCTCCCGCCCAGATCCTGGACCCGCTCGGCCCCCTGCTTTGTGACGAGCCCCTCCCCCCCCCTCCATGACCGTGAGGGACACCAGGACCGAGAACCTCAGAAACCCAGGCCATACAGGCAGGAAGCCACCAGCCAGCCTTCAGCCCCGCCGGCCACCTGGCCGCAGACGGGGCACGCTCTGCAGGGCCCTGGAGGGGAACGACCCGGCCACAGAACCCACAGCGGCCTCGGAGCTGCAGGCGCCATCCCTGGCTCCCTGGACCCGCTCCGGCTCCCATCCCGCGCCACGAGAGGCTCGGCCCTCCCACGGGGTCACAACGCAGGGGAAAGGCCCAGAAAGAGAACCCTGACGTAAGCCACGAGGGCTCCTGAGCACTCCCCGCGGGAGGGCAGCTGCAAGCGTGGTGAAGGCCACGAGAACGCCCGGAGGAGAGCTAACAGAGGAGCACGCCAAGGGGAGAGGCCCTTCCTAGCGGCTGGCCAGCCCGAGCCCCAGCCCGAGCCCTGGGTGCGCCCAGGCTCACCCTTGAGGAGGTGGCTTTGCCCTTGGCCTGTCTCTTCCCGGGGCCACTGAGGGCCAGTGAATTATGCTTTGCACAGGGCCTGGCACTCGGGAGGGCTGGATGACCAGCAGTGGGGAAACTGAGGCCCAGAAGATCTCAGGCGGAAGGCCAGGCTGAGACTGGAAGCCAGGGTGCGGGGGAGACCTGACCTAAGGGCTGGGCCAGGGCCAGGGCCGGAGGCTGGGGGCAGAGAGGAAGCCTGCAGGTCCTCAGGGTGAGGCCCTGGGGAACTGCCCGCCCTCCCCCGTGCCCACGGCTGCTCTTCTCTATGAATGAGCTTTTGCTGAGGTTTTATTTGAACAAGTCCCTTTAAAATAGGGGTGTCGAACTCAATCAGAGAAGGGGCCAAAATCTAAAATCCAGCCTAAATCGCGGGCCGAATGGTTTACTGAACAGTCATAAACTGTCATTGTGATGGAAACGCAGCGGAGTGCAGTGATGACAGCGAGGTGCGGGCCATATTGCAAGGCCTGGCGGGACGGATTTGGCCCGCGGGCCTTGTGTTTGACACATGTGCTTTAAAACCACTGATCTGGCCTGTGCCAGGGCCCGGAGAGGGGCGCCACCTGCCTCAGGTCACGCAGCCAGCCCGGCCTCTGACTCCGCTGTACCTCCGGGCCTGGCTTCCCTTCCTGCTGCCTCTTCCTGTGCCACCCACGCCCCCATCAGCTCACACCAAGGGGCTGTCTCAGGTGTGGGGAACCCCAGGAGAGACCAGCAGGCAGGAGGAGGCCACCTTTCCACCCTCATCCAGGGGCCTCGGTGGGGGCGGTGGGCAGCTCTGGGCTGTGCGGCTGCACACAGAGGGCTCACAGGGATTCCAGGTGCTGCCCGGCCCCTGGGACCCTTCCTCCCAGGCTCTGAGCCCCGGATAACACGCCTCTCCACACTGGGTGCTCACTGCTTTGTACCGCATCAGTCACACTGAGCCCATCCCGATTCTGCCCCTGGGGACTCCCAAGAGAATATCACCTCCCTCAACAGAAGCTTAGACCTTTGTTACTATGGCCCTCGTGGTGGTGGTAATGGGAGCCCAGGGAGACGGCCCAGCGCCAGAGGTAACAGAACACAATCCATGACTCACAAGGAGCCTCCTGCTCTGCAGCCAGAGGCTAGCCACCGTGGGCACTGACCTCCAGGCCTGCAGGGAGGGGGGGCATTCTCCGGGTTCCTGGAGGAGGCAGCTGATGCCCAGAGAGGCCTGCCACCTGCCCAGGGCTCCCCCCGCCAGGCACACTGGCGTGGACTCTGCTGCCTGCACCGTGGCCAGTGACACACCAGGCCGTGCCCGCCTCTATCACCTGGAGATGCTGGGGAAGCACGGGCCCAGCTCCCCGAGGCCGAGGCCAGAACAGAGACATGACGTTGGAGCTCTGAAGCCCAAGGCCAGGGCCAAGGATGCATCCATGTCCAATCCCAGCAGGAACCTGACCAGGCCAGTGCCTGCTGGGAGCGACCTGCCTCTGGGCCTGGTGACCATGTGTGACAGCTCAGGGGAGGCCGCAGGAGGCGGTCCTGAGGCTGGAGCGGGCTCTCCCAGGGCCAGCTCTGAGCCTGATTCCCAGCGAGGGCACCCACGCTCGGGGCCAGGCCCGGGCGCCCTCGCTGGCCACACCCTGGTAGCCACTCTCCCGGGGTGAGCCTCCTGGGCGCTGAGAGGCCGGGAGCCTGTCCTCCTGCCCCAGGCTCACTCCTCCTGAGCGGGGACCAGAGGCTGTCTCTGCGACCCTGGACGCCACCCTGGAGCCAAGACAATGTGAGGCCCCAGCCAGGACCTCCATGTCCCCAGGCCTGGATCCTCTCCTCACCGGGCCTGGGTGACCCTGTGGCTCTGCTGTCAGGAGGATCTCACGTGAGACAGTAAATGCGAGAGGGGCCACAATCACACAGACAGACAAGGACAGGGCAGCTCTGAACGCACCGGCGAGTGTGTGCGCGTGAGGGGCAGTCCAGACAAGAGATGGCCAGCTGGTTCTCTGTTTCATTCATTCATTCATCCATTCATCCATCCATCCGTTCATTCATTCATTCATTCATTCCTCACTCTTTCACCCAGTGACCACAGGCCTCTGGCCCACTCTGTGGCAGCTTCCCTTCCAATTCCCTAATCCGAATCTGCAAACCCCAGGCCCTTGGGCAGGCAGAAGCAACGAAACACAAACTCTCTTTGATGCTAAAATGCATGAACAAGGGGTCCCTACACACAGCAGGTGCTCAGTAAATACCTGCAGAATCGCATTTGCATTCCTGATCTTGACCCTGGGCCCTGGGGTCAGCATGCCCTGCCTCTGGGCGCCTTGAGGAAGTCACATACTTAGATTCAAAGAAAGAGTTTCCAAGGAGGGGACCGGCCTCCTTCAGCCACTGGCGGAGGGAGCTGGGGTCGAGCGGAGCACACTGGAGCTCCGAACACACACATATATTCTCTCTCTCTCTCTCTCTCTCTCTCTCTCTCTCTCTCTCTCTCTCTCTCTCTCTCTCTCTTCCTCCCTCCTCCCCTTCCCCTCTCGCCTTTTCCAGCCTCTTCCTTTCTTTAAGGATGCAAGTCCATACTCCCCAGCAGGCTCCCAACCGCGCTCATCCCACCCTGATCCTGCTGTCTCCCGGTCCCAGCCTCCTCCCTGGCCTGCAGGGCAGAGGACCACACTCCCCGCCGCCCAGGAGTGCTCCCAGAACCCAGCGCCCTCTGCCTGACCTCGGCGGCTGCCCTTCTCCCTGGGGACCCTCCCTCCCCCGCCCGGGGGGCTCGGTGGCTCTGGCACTTACGTCTGGGCTCTCGGGGTCCGTCCACAGTCACCTTGATGGCTCGGTGGTAGGTGGCCACTTGGGTGGGGTTGGTGAACACGGTGATGGTCAGGGTGAAACTCTTCCCTGGGGAGGCGGGAAAAGGCAGGAGGTTGGTACCCGGAGCCGCTCACCGCACGCTGGTCTCCCCGAGGAGCCCCCTAGCCTTCCAGAAGGGGCAGGCGCCCTCCTGTGGACCCGGGCAGAGGTGGGCTCTGGGTGACGTTCAAGCCGCTGGGGCTGGCATTCGAGGCTCCAGGAGGCCTGGCGCCAACTCTATTTTGCCTGCACCTCCCCGCTCTGCTCTGCCGCCCTGGCTTTCCCCTCTGTTTCTTATCCTGCTTGTGCTCCTGCCGTGCAGAGACCCCTGTCATTTTGGGGTGGGGAGCAAGGGTGGAGAGATATGTATTTCCCCCTGAAAGTAATTAAGGAGTTTTATAGAGAATTGTAAGAACGTAAGATATAAGAAAGAAGAAGTTCATAGCAGCACAATCTACAATAGCTAGGATCTGGAAACAGCCTAGGTGCCCGTCAGCGGATGATTGGAGCAGAAATCTATGGTACATCTCCACAATGGAATACTATGCTGCCATGAAAAAAGGAGTTCTTATCATTTGCAGCAACCTGCATGGAATTGGAGAACATCATGCTGAGAGAAATAAGCCAGTCAATGAAAGAGAAACACCACATAACCTCACTCATTTATGGATAACAAAGAACATTATAAACTGATGAACCAAAAGATAGATACAGAGACAGTAAAGCAACAAGCAGACAGTAAATTACAGCGGGGAGGGTAGGGAGATCTGGGGGAGATAAGAGATCAACCGAAAACTTGTATGCATGCATATAAGTACAACCAATGGACACAAAACTCTGGGAGGGAGGGCATGTATGGGAGTGTGTGTGGGGGGGGCAATGGTAAGATATGAACACATATAATAATTTAATAAAAAATAAATAAATAAAAAGAAAGAAGAAAATGCCCATAATCCCACCAGTCAGAGATAAACACTGTTACTACTTGGTGTTTTCTCCTCTGATCCTTTTCCTGTGGGTATGCACATTTAAAAAGTTGCAGAGATTCCAATATACACTAATAAAAGGGTGATATGCTAATTAGACCGGGAGACCTTCCAGACAAAGCCATGGTGGGGGGCTGAGGAAGAGGCGGTTAGGGGTGATCAGGCCAGGAGGGGAGGGCAGTTGGGGGTGATCAGGCCGACAGGAGGCCAGTGGGGGGCAAGCAGGCCAGCAGGGGGGCCCAGTTGGGGGCGAGCAGGCTGGTGGGGGAGGCAGTTGGGGGCGAGCAGGCTGGTGGGGGGGGCAGTTGGGGGTGAGCAGGCCATCAGGGGGACAGTTGGGGGCGAGCAGGCTGGTGGGGAGACGGCTGGGGGAGAGCAGCTCGGCAGGCAGAGTGGTTAAGGGAGATCAGGTAGGCAGGCAGGTGAGTGGTTAGGAGCCAGCGGTCCCAGATTGTGAGGATGTCCGACTGCCGGGTTAGGCCCAATCCCACAGAGATCAGGCCTAAACTGGCAGTTGGACATCCCCCAAGGGGTCCCAGATTAGAGAGGGTGCAGACCAGGCTGAGCGACACTTGCCCTGTGCACGAATTTTGTGCACCAGGCCACTAGTGTGTGTGTGTATTTGTACCCTGCTTCGTTTTTTTTTTTTTTTTTTTTTTTTTTTAATATTTTATTGATGTTGTACAGAGAGGAAGGGAGAGAGATAGAAACATCGATGAGAGAGAGTCATTGATCAGCTGCCTCTTGCTACCCCCTACTGGGGATATGCCTGCAACCAAGGTACATGCCCTTGACCGGAATCGAACCCGGGACCCTTCAGTCCCCAAGCCAACGCTCTATCCATTGAGCCAAACCGGTTTTGGCCCCTGCTTCGTTTTTCATCTAACATCACATCATAAGCACTTTCTCATGTCATTAAAAATTCTTCATAAACTTCATTTTTAATGGCTGCAAAATATTTCAACTCATAGGAGCCTCATCTTTTATTCATTCAGCTCCCTGCTGCTGACTTCTTTCGGTGTGTGCGGCTGGGGCTGGAGAGGGGCTGATGTGGGAGCTGCCGACATTTCATTTGTAGACACAACTGTTATTTCCAGGACTCTGTTCTATTTTTAAATAGACATTTGGCTCCAAAGTCTCCATTCAAAATTCCTGAGAGGGGAAAAAACTTTTAAAATAATTTGTTTTTTTACCATTTGAAATAAAACGAAAATGACCTTCTGCTTCTAAGAGTCTTTGTCTGCATCTCCGCTGGTTTCCTCAGCACGGATTCCAAGAAGTGGCCGCTGAGTTCATCGCAGCCGAGGGGTCCGATCTCTCCTGAGAGATGAGACGGCGCTCCAGAGAGCCACCGTGATTGGCGTGAGGCCGTGGGTCCCCCGGCGCCATTGGTACCATCTACTGAGGTGGAAGATCTTTCAAATGCTCCTGACCGAACTGGTCTTTTTTCTAATACTAGTCTGAATGACACGTTTTATATGTTTATTATCCATCCTAACCCAACACAAATTATGGCTTTGTGTTCTTTTATAATTTCGTATTAAGGTTTCAGTGACTTTAAAACATCGTTCTGTAGCCCTAGCCAGTTTGGCTCAGTGGATAGAGAGTGTTGGCTTAGGGACCGAAGGGTCCCGGGTTCGATTCCTGTCAAGGGCATGTACCTCGGTAGCAGGCCCAGGCCCTGGTTGGGCTTGTGCAGGAGGCAACCAATTGATGAATTTCTCTCACATCGATATTTCTCTCTCTCTTTCCCTCTCCCCCACTCTTTCTAAAAATCAATGGAAAAATATCCCGGGGGGGGTGGTTGGGAGGAGGGGGCGGAGGAGGGGGAATAAGACAAAACACCATCCCTCCGTAATCGGCTTGTTAACACCTCCCTGTCCTATTTGTGGCGACCAGTTGCCCCGTTTGCTGGCCTTTACATTTCGCTCCTATCATTTTTTGTGTGTGGGCAGGTTGCCCTGGGTAACAGGGCCGGAAAAGGTTTGTCTCTGATGAACTGTGTCCTCTTTACTTTCTACATCTAATTCTCTGATTCTTCGGGAGATGACTGCTGCGTGAGGTATAAGGGGAGGATTCTTCCTCAAAGGGCGCCCCCCGTTTTCCCAGCACCTCCCTGCAATGGGAGCACCCCCGCCTGCCTGCTCTCCGTCGCCATCACCGCCTCCACACAGGTGGGATTGGGAGGATGTGGGGGGGCTTGGCTGGTCCCCCAAGTCAAACTCTGTCTGAGCACCCCTATCTCTCTCTCTCTCTCTCTTAATATCTCTCTCTTAATATATTTTATTGATTTTTTACAGAGAGGAGGAGAGAGGGAACGTCGATGAGAGAGAAACATCGACCAGCTGCCTCTTGTACACCTCCTACCGGGGATGTGCCCGCAACCAATGTACATGCCCTTGACCAGAATCGAACCTGGGACCTTTCAGTCCGCAGACCGATGCTCTACCACTGAGCCAAACCGGTTTCGGCAGCTCCCCTATCTCTGATCCCAGTTACAGGCTTGGAGAGTCCCAGGGGCTGGGTCATGGCCCGGGGCACCTGTGTTCCCCAGGGCGGGCTCAGGGTGGGCCTGGAGGGCGGCTGCCCGAAGGCACCCCTCTGCTGACCCCTCTGCTCCCAACGGCCCCCCAAGACCGGCGGGTGGGTTTGATCGCCCCACCTCACCGTGTGAGACGAAAGCAGCGGGACTGACAGCGCGCAGTGCTCTTTGCACGGTCCTTTCGGAGTGCTGTTGGCCCAGTGCTTCCTGTCCCAGACGCAGGGACTCCAGAACCAAGGCCACCGGCCAGGCTGCTGGGGCCACCCCCAGGGACCCAGGGGGTCTGAGACGTCAGGGCTGGGAGGATGGGGCTCCCGTGTAAGTGAGCGGAGCTGGAAAGGGTGGGCTCCTCTGGGAGAAATGTTCCTGAGCCAGCGGCTAAAGGCCGGGATGCAAATGCCCCCCACGGTCCCTGCCCCGGAGTCCCGGGTCCGAGGGACACATACGTTCTCTCCTTCCTGTGACCCCTGAAAACAGGGCGTGCAGAGGCTAGGGAAACGCCAGGCAGGGGGGCTCAGGCTCCCGGCTCGCCCTTTCCAGGGGACCCTCCTGCTGCTCTCCCTCACTCTGAAGTCACTGCCCTCCTGGGCCCCCTGGCCCCCACCCAGTCAGGCACTCTCTGGGGGTGCCTGGGCCTCTCTGTCCATCGCTTCCTTGGTCAGAGGAGTTTAGGTTACAGCAGCCAGAGGGCGGCCAGGCGGGTGGGCCCCAAGCCCCTGAACCCCCCCTCCCCCCTCTAATCCCCCCACCTCCCTCAGGTCTCCACTGAAAAGCCACAATCTCAGGGAGGCCTGCCCCGTCCCTTTCTCTAAAGTGGGAGTCAGTCACTTGACATGTGCAGCCTCCTCCGGAGCTGAGTGTGCCCGGGAACTGGGGTAGGAAAGAAAAGAACAGGCCGTTGCACCGCCCCTAACCTCTACACGAAACTTAGCATCTCTCTCAGGCCCGAAGGGAGACAGCAAGCCAGCCGGCACCGCAGTCCCTGCGACCTTGTCACAGCGACGTCACAGGTGTCCGCGTCTCATGTTACAGACGCTGCAGGTTTCCCTAAATATCCCCCGTGCCCGTCACAACCTCCGAGTCACGGCCGTCAGGGCCAGGTCTGGTTGTTTGATATGCTAACCGGGTGAGCACGTTTGTCACGAATCGAGAAGACAGCTCGCTAACTACGTTTTCACATAATTAGGCCCCAATGTGATCGTCCGTGTTTTATTCTGTTCCCTGAAAAGCACTGTCCTGAGGCTGTCCGAGGGGCGAGGAAAAGATGCAAGAAGCTAACCCAGACACGCCATCAACCTTCCCTCGCGCCCCGCCTGCGTTTCCCTCAAATGCTTATTACTTATAACAATTCATCCATTTATTTTTCCTGTCTTCCAGGACTGGCCTGTAAGCTCCCTGGAGACCAGACTTCTTCCTGTTCTTTGTTGCTATTTCCCAAGCCCCTAGGACAGCATCTGGCATGCAGTAGGTGCTCAATAGATGCTTGTTAAATGGATGAAGGGCAGAGGTGACTGCTCCCATTTTACAGATGAGGAAACTGAGGCCAGGTCACACAGCATCCAGGCAGAGCCCAGGGAGGTAGGAATGGGATGGAGCCAGCCCCTCTACACAGATACTGAGCGCCTGCTGGGAGAAGGCCCTGTCCCCACCAGGCAGCAAACCACAGGACACCTGAGGTCACCAGCCCTCCTCACAGCTTCCTCTCAGTTCCCAGGCCTGGCTCTAGCCCTCCCGGCACTCCCGGGAGACGAAGGGGGAAGGGGGAGGCTGGGACCTGGGAGCCGGAGTGGGAGGAAGGAAGCAGGTAGCAGATAACAAGAGACAGGGTGAGGGAAAGGTGTCTCGCTGAGTGGCCCTCACCCCTCTCTCTGCCTAGCAGCAAACCCACCCATCACCTCTCTTCTCGTGGAGGAGGCGGCTGAGAAAACAGAGGAGGTGGACAGCTTTGTGCAGGAACCCCGGGCATACGTGCAACCAGCCAGGACTCCAGGGATTGTACATCGAGGCACTGCAAGGGCTGGCGCTGGGAGGGGGAGAAGTCCTAGTGTGGAAATGGCTGTGCCCTGGGGCTCTGAGTGGCCCCAGACATCCCAGAAGCTCCTGGGGCCCTAAACCAATCAGCACACACACCTGGGTCTGGCAGGGTGACCTTGGACAAGTCCCCATCCCCGTCCCTCTCAGCCAGGGCTCCTGTGTGAGGCGCCCCTGCCACAGGGCTCCCGGGGAACGGGCGGGGACCTGTCTCTGGGACCTCTGGGTCTGCTCAACATGGGCCAAGAAGCCATCTATCTGCTCCTACCAGTGGCCCCCCTGTGCCTGCAGCTCACACCTTTCGCCCCAAATCTCTCTCCACACACCGCGGCAGGATCTCTTTAACCAGGTAACCACAGTCCGGGAAGCTCTTTTCCCTCCCACCTAGGCCTCTGGCTGCCTCCTAGGGGGCTTTTGGGTAAGGTGACCAGACGTCCCGCTTTTGGTGGGACAGTCCCGATTTTTAACAATTTGTCGCGCGTCCCAAGAAACAAAAATCAGGACTTTTTTTTTTTTTTTTTAAACACCGCGGGACAAATTGTTAAAAATCGGGACTATCCTGCCGAAAGTGGGACGTCTGGTCACCCTACTTTTGGGGGATTGTCGTGTGTGATTCTCAAGAGGTGGGGTTGGGGGGGTGGGGAGGGGATGTCCAGCATTGCACAGAGCCATGAAATAGTCAATTCTCTCTGTGCACGAAAAACTTGCTGATAAAGAAGATCTGAGCCCTGAGCTTAACTAAATTTTGCATAAAACAAGGGAACTTTTTTTTTTTTTGGTACACGTTTAACGTCTCTTGAATTTTCCAGGAGGAAAGACAGTCTTTAAAAAAAAATGTGTTCAGAACTTTACCAAGAATTGTTCACACGTTCGGGAAAATCACGTCACTGACGGCAGCGCCGGGGGCAGGCTCTGAGTCACGGACACCTCACCTGCCGCCTGTCAGAGGGGGGAGCGCCCATCCACCAGACGCTGTGGTCTGGCCCCATATTTACATATTCTGAGACCAGGTGTTTTTTTTTTATAGATATTTCACTATAAATAGATATTTTACTATAAATCACTTTCCCCATTTTTCATCAGGGCTATGGAATTACACGGGCTTTGAAACTGCGTCGTAGGTGGCCTATGTTATCTGCATTTCGTTGTGAGGTGGGAAAGGAAGGGCATTATAAATTACTGAAGGGGGTGCTGTGTCTGGGAGGGTGTGGGGCGGAACCTCGATCACTGCAAGAGACACCCATGACTCGGTTTCCTTCCCTTCCTTTCCCTGTTTCACACCGCCAGGCTCATCCCGGGAGCTCCGTGCTGGTGGTGTGTGCATGTCTTTCCTGGGATTGAGAGAGAACCCAGGAATGAAAGGCAAGGAAACAAGCAGACATTTCCATCGGGGTCCTTGGCCCCAGCAGAGGGCAGGGAGCCAGGGGCAGGCCCCGGGTCCCCAATCCCAGCCTGTGCCCACTCCTGTCCCCACCCTGTCTGTGTCAATCACTGGCGGGTCCTCCCCGAGGGAATTTCCCACTGGGCAGGATGGGCAGAGCTGAAGCAGGGCTGCTCGCCACAGGAGGCTCCGGCCTCCTCCCTCACAGCCACCGCCTCCACTTCTCCCACTCAACAATTCACACCTCCCGGGTTTCCCCCGCCCCCGCCCAAACCGCACCAGAACCAGAGAATCAGTGGCTGTCACCGCTCAAAGGGACTTCAAAGATCTCCTCTGGCCCCAGGCACCTGAAGTAACCAAATCTCTAACATGTATCCAGCTCTCGATAGCTGCCAGTGGAGACAGACACCTGTACCAAGTTCCTTAGCTCTGACAAAACCCCTTGAGGCAGGGACCACAGGATCCCCATTTTACAGATGAGCAAACGGAAGCAGAGAGAGGAAGCCATTTGCCCACATGTCATCCAGCCAGACACCAGTGGAGCTGGGCCTGAAGCCCGGCTCCGATGTTTTAGAGCCCAAGCTGTTGAATACCACGGGCCTCCTCTCGGGCCTAGAAGTCCTGTCGAGGCACCAGAACCTCAACCGAGGCCTCTTCCTGCTTCCCAGGACCGCTGAGACCCGTGAGAGCAGCTCAGGCTCCGGCATAGATCTCCCAGAGCCACCAGGCAGCCGCGGGCTGCCCAGCCGGGCTCTGGAAGTCCCTCTCCCTCCCACCAGGCCCTGCGGGTGGGCACAGGTCTGTGGGCATACATACACGCCGCAAGGAAATCCTTTTCAGCGGCAGAATGGCCAGGGAACCCAGAGAATCATCGTCTCTTCTCTTTCTGTATTGCACCTCCCAGAAGAGGGGGTGCAATGCCATCTTCCTGATGCCACGCTGGGCCCCAGGGACTAAGCTTCCCTTCTGCCTGCCCCCGAGGGGACGCAGCTTTCTTGGGCTTCCCTCTCTGCCACTGCCACCTGGGCCGACAGACCGGGCCACCGCCCCACGGCGGAGCTGCCTCGGAGCAAGCCACCGCCAGCTCGGGACTCTCCGCTCGCTCGGGGCTGGGACTGGGATTAAGTTGCAAAAGGCTTGAGATATTGGGGATGACAAAAGGGGCTTGCAGACTAATTAGGAGCAGCAATGAAAGCTTAATTCATAAAAGCAAACATTTTCCATCCATCAACCTGCAACCAGTTAAGGGCAACGTTTTGAAAGAAATCTGTGCGCGGGGAAGGGAGCCAACAGGAACAGGAAATGTTTGAAAGAATGTAAACTATTTCAGTTTCATAAAAAAGTAACAAGTAAACAGTTATTACATGCAAATAACGCCCTGGTTTTAATTAATGCTGAAAAGTCAAAATATGTTTGACATTTGTATGTATACACTGAGCGGCTGAAGAGGGAAAAATGGTGCCCAGATGCCCACTTCCCAGCGGGGCCGGCAGCTCGGAGGGAGCTAAAACCTTGAAAAGGTCTTGCTTATTGGTGATGAAAAGTACAATCCCGACCGGCCTCTGTGGAGACTGCGACCAGAGGGAACCCAGCTTCCTTTCTTAGCAAAGCTGCTTGGGCAGCCAGGTGCTCAGGGAGGGGCACTCCCCAATTTTCAGTGGGCTGGTCTTAAAGGGCCAGCGAGCCCTCAAGTCTCCATTCCCCCCCTTCCCCACCCCCCTCCCATGGCAGGGCTTCTAGGACTTCTGCATCCAGAAGTGGTGATGGGTTTCAGGTCCTCCTACTCATCAGCCCCTGGTGGCAGCCGCAGCGGTGCCTGCCCCTGCCCCTGCCCCTGCCCCCGAGAGGCGGGTCAGGCAGTGAGGGTGGCACACCGGCCTGACCCCGGGCTGGGAGAAGGCAGCCTCTGAGCTGCGCTTTCCAGTATTCGGCATCCTGTACTGCATTCGTCTCTTTTCTAAACCACGTTCAGGCTCAAAGGGCTGGGGAAACTGTGGCTTCGGGAGACCACAGCTGCGGAGAGGCAGCCCAGCGTGTGGGGGAGAGTCTGCCCCAGTGGGGAGAGTGGCTGGGGTGCTGAGTCCCTGGAGACCAAGGATCTGTCCTCTAAACCGCCTGCCTGCCTGCAGAGAGACCCGAAAGGCCCTGTTTTGAGCTTGTTTCTCTCTCCCCAGATCTTTAGTGAGGTCAGTGCACGAAATCAGGGAAGGGTATGCAGGGGTTCGGAAGCCCCAGGGACTGGGGGGAAATGACAGCTTCCCCCCTCACATCGTCAAGGGGGTCTGTAACACCCCGAGGGGCTGCAAACCGCTGCTTCAGACAGGACTGAGCATGGACCTGTTTCTGGGGCTCCCACCATTCTCCGCTCCCCCCCCCCCAACCTTTGCTACGGCGGCCCATGCGGGGCGGGCGCCGCCTCCCGCCCACTCACCTCGCCCGCTGCGGCCCACGAAACGGAGGTCATTGAACCTGGCCACCTGGTTCTTCATGACGGCGGAGGCGTTGCGCAGCTCGGCGGAGTAGTTCTCGTCGTTGCCCGCCATCACCGTCACCACCGTGCCATCGGGCACGTCCCCCAGGGCCACCACCTGAGGGCACGGGGCAAGGGGACAGCTTAGGAAGGTGGCGGGAGGCGAGGGGAGGGGGGAGGGGCTGGGGCGGGCAGCTCCCCCAGGTCCCAGGCGCACTGCGGATTTCTCAAACGGCTTACAAACAATGGAGACACCCCCCCCAACACACACACACACACACACACACACACACACACAGATCTCTGCCTTCCGCACCAAATTCCTAGATACGCTGGTTAAGCCGTTAAGCCATGCCCTGGGAAATCACCCCTTCCATTCAACTACATCTAAGGGGGAGCTGGGCAGGAGGAGCTCAGTCACTACAGTGTGGGGTGCCGTTTCCTCCTTCCCTCCGCTGGTGAGCAAAAGAGGAATCAACATTGCCTCTAGCAACCGAGTCTCTGCGTAAAAAAAAAAAAATAATAAAAAATAACAGCAACAGCAACAATTAGGGGATTCAACTAACGAAAGAGCCCTTTTGGGGATATTTGGCCCCGAAAGGTGGCCTCAGCCCAGGGTGTCGGCCTCTGCCTAGCTCGAATTCGTTATGCAGGGAAAATGCAAAATGCAAAACAAGCTGCTGTTTTGAGAGCGGTTTGTCCAGAAAAAAAAAAAAAAAACCCCTTTTAAAGTGCCAGAGGGGGTTTTGATAGTAGGAGGATGCACCTGCCGGGAATTGCGGGGATGGGAGATGGCGGTGCCCCCTATGATCATCTCCCCCCAAGCCTCACCCCATGGCGGAGCACCGAGAGGCAGATGCCTCTGGAAAAGGAACCAGGCTGCAGACACAGCCACAGCCGTTTATTTGAACGTGGCCACTGCGTGCAGGGACGAGGGGATCCAGATGGTAAAAATTTCAAGGAGAAAATGTTTGGGGTCTGATTAAAAAGGCCAGATTTCCTGTCAACATCCTGTCTTCCTTTAATTTCAAAGGTTCCTTTTAAGCTCCAAGTGACAGGACAGCCTCCGCTCAGAGGATTACAGTCACACGGGCCTCCGCCGGGCCCTCTACGGGACAGTCTCCCTGCTGGTGTTTTAGGATGTCACCCGGGAGACCTCCAAGAGACACTCATCCTTTCTTTTATTTTTTATTTTTTCTTTCTTTCAATTTGGAGTCACCTTCATGGGAGCGAGGACGGCCTCCTCGGCTGCCAGGAGCCGCCGCCTCCGGCCACCTCGGGCCCCGCCACCCCCGCGCCGGCCCCGCTGGCCCCGCCGGCCCCGCCTGCGGGGCCCTTTCTCACGGCAGCTGCGAGAGGTTTAGGGGAAAACCAGTCATTTTCGTTTCATCTCGCTGCCCCCCTTTAAAAAAATGAAAATGAAACAGTCGCCTCCTCCCGCGCAGAGAGAAGGTCCTCTGAATGACTGGGGGCTGGCTGCCGGGGGTGGGAGCACCCCGATCTGTGCCCAGCATTTGGGATCCCCGCAGCCGCCGGTTAGGGACGGCGCCTCCGGTCCCGGCCCGGGGCCGCGGGGTAACGTTTCCGAAGCGGGGGGCCAAGGGTGTGAGCAGGAAGTGCTGCTGCAGCGGAGCCGGAGGAGGGGTGCCGGCAGCCGGGGAGGCCTCTCCGCCCTGCGCACCCCACCTCCGCGCCCTCGCCCCCGGCTCCTCTGCTTCCTCCCCGCAGGGCTGCGTCCGGAGGACGCGGGTGGGAGGTGAGCCCCCTCGGCCCGCTTCCCTCTCCATCTCTCTCCGGAGGGCTCCCCGAAGGTAGCGGGGGCATGGCTCCCCGAAAGCCACCAGCGCGGGGTGCCCCCGAGAGGAAGCGCCCGCGTCTCCGGGTGGAGCGCGCCCTGAGCCCGACGGGGCCGGTGGCCCAGCTGCCCGGCTCTGGCTCTGGGGTCTCGGGCGCGTTCCCTGCCCTCCCCTCCCCTCCGAGGGTTCCCCGACCCCGGCTCCTCCGGCAGCGGAGCCGAGCCGCCCGGCGCCCCGGGGGCCGCGCCCGCCCGCCCTCCCTCCCTCCCTCCCCGGGCCCCGAGCTCACCTTGAAGGCCACCGGCAGCGTCTTGTTGCAGCGCCAGTGCGAAGGCAGCACGGAACAGAGGAAGTTGGGGCTGTCGGTGCGCACGAGCTCGCCCGCGTGGTCCGCCAGCACGTCCACCATCGAGCGCACCTCGGGCCGCGCGCGCCCGCCGGGCCCCCCGGCCGCCGGCACGCCCAGCGCGCCGCTGTTCTCGCCCATCTTGCCGCCGCCGCCGCCGCAGGGGAAGGCCGTGGAGGGGGGTGTGAAGCGGCGGCTGGTGCTCGGGTCTACGGGAATGCGCATACCAGCGGCCGTCAGCGCGCCGGCCGGGCGGCGGCAGCGGCGGCGCGGCTCCCCCGGGGCCGCCGGCGCGGGCGCCTCCTCCTCCGCCGCCGCGGCCGCCGCCAGAAGCAGGGAAGCAGAAGCGCCTGGCCCGGGCCTCGGGGCCCCGGGGGCGGCGCCCGGGGACGCCCCGCCGAGCCCGCCCGCGGCCGAGCCTCGCAGCCCCGACGGCCGCGCCGCCGGCCCGCTAGTCCCTCATCCCGGGCGCGCGGCCCTGGGGCGGCCGCCTTGCGCGCCGGTCCCGGTCCCGGCAGCTTCGGCCGCGGCGGGGCTGCCCGCGCCGACCGTGCCGCCTGTGCCGCCCCCGCCGCCCCCGCAGCCCGCCCGCGGCCTGCGGCCCCGCGACAAATCCTCGAGAATCAAGTGGCGGCGCCGCGGCCGCCCGCGCGCGGGGTTAGTACCCGGGCCCGCGGGGCGGGGCGGGGCCGCCGGAGCGACGCGCCGCGCAGCCAATCGCAGCCCCATCGCGGGCACCTCGGCGCCGGCGGGGGGAGGACGGGGACCGCCGAGGCCGCCCCACCCGGAGGGGCGGAAGGCCCCGCCCCTAGGAGGACGCGCGGGGTCCGGTGCCCCCACGCGACAGCCCGGGGCTCCTCGAGGGCTCCGGGGAACCGGGCCGAGGCCAAAAAAGGGTTTGCAGCCCCCGAATCCTACCGAAGGCTCATTTGCCACAGTCTCCGGGGCCGCGCCTCCCTTTCTCCCCCCCTTTTCCCCGCTGCTGGCCTGCGGTCTCGGGCCTCCCCATCTCCAGCTGCTTTCGGCCTGTGCAGCCTGCACCCCAGTGGAGTACCAGTGACATCGCTTGGGGATCTGACCCCCAAAAGGCTTCTCTCCGCCCCCCGGCCCGCAAATTGTTTTTTGACCCAAGAGCTTCCACGGCGCAGGAGGTGAAGCGCGCCCAGGCGGCCTCTGCGGCTCCCAGCCCCCCTGCGGCTGTGGTCCCGGCCGCGGAGGCCTCGGTGTCCACCTGGGGGCAGAGGGAAGGGTGCCCCCGCGGCCCGCACCCGGCTGGGGGGCGCCTAACCCTGCTCCTCTCCGGCCACGCGACTGCGAAGACGCGCAGGCCTCGCCGCGCTGTCCATCCTCCGTGGCGGAGGCCGGCGGCTGGTTGCAGAGCAGATGGGCCTGGAACGTGCGAGTGTTTCCCCCGACCTTCTCCCCTCCGTCCCCAACACAAGCCCCGCGCCGGTAACCAGGGTCCCGCATCCCTGCGTCGCGGAAAAGGACGTTTGTAGCGAGAAGGAAACGTGTTTGGAGAACAGGGACGGCTGCGAAGATCAGGGCCCACCCAGGCTTCCAGAGGAGGGAACGGACTTCCTCCAGGTGGATGCAAACTGGCTCCCGCGGGTCCGAGCCCGCGTCTTCCTGGGCCGGACGGTGCGCTCCCGCGGGCCCCGCAGCAGGAGGGCTGGCAGCTCTGCCGAGGCCCGGTCCGCGCGCCGGCCCTGGGCCCTGGCCGGTCGCTCCCACTCCCCGGCGCGGCCCAGCCATTCCTGGGGCTTCACGTCCAACAATCCCTTCCTCTCCGGCCTCCGAAGCCCGGCTGCGGAGGAGAGGGGAACAGGAAAAGATCGAGACCCGTCCACTCCGGATTGCCGCCCAGACGCGCTCCCCGGAGGGTGGGGAACAAGCTCGCGCCGGCTGCCCCCGCCGCTTTGGAGACCGGGTGAGTATTCGTTGCTCCCCGCACCCCGGACAGTTGCAAAACGACGCGTTTCCAAGCCTCAGGAGCCCAGCAGCGTGGATGCCCGTGGAGACCGATGGTGACCGAAAGAGCCCGCCCTGGACCTGACCCCGGCCCAGCGGGGGCCCGGTCGTCGCAGGCAAACGAAATCAAGCCCGGGGTGCACCGCAGAGCAAACGGGATCTGGGCCAACCTCGGCCACCGGGAGAGCTGGTCCCTGCCCCTCCCGGAGCCTCCTGGCAGGTCCTCGGGCCATTTGGGAAGCAGGGACAGGAGAGCCCTTTTCTGGGCTTTTCAGGGAGCCTACGCCGCGGCCCGCGCGCGCTCGGGGGCGCTGGCACCAGCATGGGGACGAGAAGAAAGCGAGGGACCCGGGCCTTGGTGCGCCTGGCCCTCCTCTCAGAGCGCCCCAACGGAAGTCCTGCTGCATCCTAGCCTGGTAGCCCGGGCCAGGGGGGCGGGGAGGGGTGGAGGTAGGGGGTGGGGGGGGGGGGCGTGCTGCCCTGGGGCGGCTGTGGGGCCAGGGCCCCTTCATATGAAGTTTGCAAACTCAATTTGTCTCATGGTTTCGGTTTGCACCACCGGTGCACTTCCTTGCACCCTCCGCCCGATTTCTCCCTCTCCTCCGAGGGGTGGTTTACAAATGGGTTTCCTGATAACGGGGCTCCCGTGGGCCTCGGCGCCTGGGCCAGGGTCCGGATCGGCACCAGCCCTCGGAGGGCGCTCGCTGCAGGTGCGTGCGGGGACCGGGAGGACCCCAGGTGTTGGCGCTTGGGTCCCCAGCCGAGGTCGCCAGCGCCGGCTGAGCTGGAGCAGTTCCGGGAGCCGCCGCTAGTTGGCGCCTGCACTCTGCCAGCCGGGAGGTGCCCGCAGGCCTGCGCACACATGGGCGCCAGCTGCGCCCCCAGTGTCCGAGCGCGGGGTCCTCTCCTAAGAGCTGTCCTTTCTGGACAGACGTCTCCTCCGGCTCCTCGCCGTCTGTGCGGCTACATCTCGGACAAACCAAAGGCTTTGAGTCTTACTGAAGGCTGCCCTCCCGCCCCCATGGACGTACACTAGCGCATTCGGGGTTCTCATCTCAGAATCCCGGGGTCCCTGCACCCTCCGATCAGCAGCCCTTTCCTGGCCTGTCCAGGGGAGGGCTGGCGGGGGTGAGTAGGGTGCCCAGAACAGACCAATTTTGACCTACTTCTTCCCTATCCTGGACTAACCGATCTGGGGTGTTTCTCTCTCTCTCTCTCTCTCTCTCTCTCTCTCTCTTTCTCTCTCTCTCTCTCTCTCTGTCTCTCTCTATCTCCCCCCACTACTTCTTCTCCCCTCTCCCGTCTCCTTCCCTCTCTTCCTCTCTCTTTTCCATGGAGAGGTAGCTGGACGGTTCCTACTCCCCTACCTGGAACACCTAGATACCCTCTCCCTTTTCCATCTTGTATGGACAGCCATCTCTTCAACTAGCTCATGCGTCGGCAAACTCATTATCCAACAGAGCCAAATATCAACAGTACCACGACTGAAATTTCTTTTGAGAGCGGAAAACCGACTTCTGCGCACGGGCCACGAAGTTTCAATAATCACACTGTAGGTGCGCGCCTGCATGTGGCATTTTGTGGAAGAGCCACACTCAAGGGGCCGAAGAGCCGCAGGTGGCTCGAGAGCCGCGGTTTGCCGACCACTGCACCAGATGGATGGGCAAATGCCCTGCTTTCTCTCACCTAAGAACGCCCTAAATCGTCTGCAGCAGGTTGAGGAAGACAGGAAGTCCGATCCACCTTGGCCAAGAGCTGGGTAAACAGGGACCCAGCCCTGGTTCTGGGGGCCACTCTTTCCCGCAGTGCCCTTCACCCTGGGAGAGGCAGCGTGGGCGAGAAGGACCCTGTGTCAGGACTCGGTGTCCAGGATGCGCTCTGCACGCTGTCCTGGTGCTTCCGAGGGCAGACCTGGTTCCTGAGCGTCCTGGAGCTTGGGGAGGGTGAAGGACGCCCCCTGTGTGCCAGACAAGGAACATGTGTGCCCCGGAGAAACTAAGAGGTCCCGCAGTTGTGGGGGGAGCTTGGGTCTGCAGTTTCTGTGCCTGAGTTTGATTTCTCCCACCACCTGCTCTTATCTAGAACATGGCTGAAAACTCCCTTGAGCCTCAGCTGTGTGATCTGAATGCAGGGATAACAATACGGGCCTCCTCCTGTGCAAGGTGCTGAGCACAGACCTGGGACCTAGGGGGTGCTCCATCCATGCGAACCGTCTGCCCTCATTATGCTGTTAAGGTAAGACCCAGTCACTCCTCGTCAGGGGCCTTTGGCAAGTCCCCTCCCCTCCCTGGGCCTCCCGCTTCCCATTGTGAAACAGCCAGCTCTGTTGAAGCCTGCCAGGTCTCAGAGCCTTGTCCCTGGCCACCATGCCCCCTGCGCTGGCCTAGGGGCTGCCTGGGGAGGCCAGGACGGTGGCCTGGCTGCAGACAGAGGCGGCCTGCAGGAGGCCTCCCAGCACCCAGCACGGGGATGCCTGTCGGGATTGACAACTCACCTTCCCTAGGCTCCGACCCTCACTCCAGGAACCCGCTGGTTCCTGCTCCTTCCCTCTCTCCCGCCTTCCCCACAGGCAGACATTTTTCTAAGTAGGAACTGGCCTCAGCTGACCCTGTCAGACCCCGCCCCCTGCAGCCTCCCCAGGAGGCATCCATTCCCTTTATCAGGAGCCTCAAGGAGCCCCAGCCCAGAGGCCAGGGCAGAGGACTGTCTCCTGGAAGCTTCTCCCTCTCTCAGCTCCGGAGGGATACGGATCGCCCAGCCACCTCCTGCCTGGAGCCCTAGGACTCCGGGTGGGGCCTGGCTGAGCCTGGCTGAGCCGGTGTCCTCTCTGCGAATGGAGGCTGCCCTGATAGCTCCGTGTTGCAAATCTGAGGGATTCAGGGCCCCATTTAGGTGGGGAGAGGCATTGAGTTTCATCGGATCTAAAATCCCATCAACTGCTCCGCGTGGAAGAGAAAGAAAGGCACTACTGCTAATTGAGCCAGCGCTCGCCGGCTCCTGGTTTCAGATGTATATTTATACGTCGATACGTGTACGTGTCTATTACATATAATAGAAGTTACATGTAATACGATATATAGAAATGTATGTAAAGCTAGAAAGGGAAATAAAAACCCGTATTATGTTTGAGGAGTTGTTGCCTCCGGGTTGGGGGCCCTCACCCCAGAGAATCCAGCTCAGAGCCATCCCTCCCGGGCAGCCTCTGGAAGGCTCCAGAATGTTCCAGAATGTTCAGGCA